GAATCAAACCCGGATTTTAGCGCTGTAAGTTCGTAAGCTTACCGCTGTCCCACCAAGGGAAAGCGGTAAGCCTGAAGGCTTGTCACGCTAAAAAGCTGGGTTCGATAACCGCGGTGGGGACTGCACAGACAACCCGTTGTGTAACTTTGTGCTTATGAACAGTTTATGTTATGATATAAAACTTAAAATTCCATAAAAGCTTTGGGTGATAAAGATATAAATATTTGGCTCTGGGTATTATGAAAATTGAAGTAAAATCTGTATCGGAATAAATTATCGTGTGCGTTTCTTTCTCGGTGGGAATAACGGTAAAATTGTTGTTTTTGTTTTCAATATAAATTCAGCGAAATATATTTGTTTTCAAAAAATGTGGTATTAAAAAAATTGTTAGAAAACAAAATTTAGTCTTAGATCAGATACGATTGTCCGGAAATGGCGGAGTTCAACGTGCTTCACTGATAGAGTAGTCACTCCCGGTATTTTGCTGCTATACCTCCATTTTGAAGGTTGAAAGTTGTTTGTAGAGTAGGCTAAACCTGTAGGTCGTACTCGCGGCTGTCCAATGTTTTGGGCTGTCAGAAACATTATTTTGTGTAAATAAATTTTCAGGATAAGTTTAGAAAATATATTGGTTTTGTTTTTTATTTTAATGTTCAAGAAATGCACGATATTACAGAAGTCCGGTAACATTAGTGAGCTTCTGGTTTAACTTCAAAAAGTTTATCGTACTTGTGCCTGCTGGTACTACTGTACTAATGACATGTGCACTGACAAGTCGGATGGAGCACCGGGAAGGTTATCTCCCTTTTAATTTTATAATTAATTACATTTGTAATTTATTTGTTATTGGTATATTGATTTTGTTTCTAATAATTTTTCACGTACTTACAGAATTATGTTTAAATCTATTACTCTTAAGCTTATTTGTAATTTGATTTATGCTATACTATTATTATGGTGTTAAAACGTAAATCATGATGTCTTGCAAAGTTTCTAAAATTTGATAAGTCTAATATTTACTATGGTTTAGTTATTTCCAACCTTGGCTTATTTGCTTGCCTTTAGTTTAAAAAGCTAGTAAATATTCATTCTGGATGAACACTTAACATCGTGCAGGGGAGGTTTGCATATTTAATAAGATAAAGGCAAAAGAAAAGATTAATAATATATTACTTATTACCGTTAACGCAAAAACAAAAAATGGCCCTAGCATCGGATGTGACAGTGCTGTATGTTTCGTTCAGTATAGACGTTTTTACTTTATTCTGTACCTTGTATAAGTTAAAAAATATATAACTTGTTAGAAAATTAGTAGCTTGTTACGGAACTGAAAAGAAAGAAAATTTAATTTTTTAACCTTGGTACCTGATATGATTATATAACTGATTTATGAGAAAAGGCTTTTTTTGTACTGACTTTTGAAAATGGGTTTTATTTTGTTACTTCAGTTTTTTACATTTCTACTGATTGTAGATTGATTTAAGATATGAAGGATGTGTTAAGAACATTTTTGATGTGTGACTTGGTCATGGAGATATCACTCCAAACATGGGACCGTTGACAAGATGGCCATCTCTTTCAGAACAATATCTATGGCCAGAAGATTTCAGATAAACAACTAAATGTAGATTAAAGCATATTTGAATGTAACTTGACATTTGTTGTTTTGAGTTTGAAACCTAAGTACTTATACTAATGTAAGCAAAAAATAATAAACGTTGTGTGTTTAGTATCAAGATGTTGGAGGGGGGGGGGGATATTATCTACTGGACTCCATAAATAGAGAGGCTATTGATTAAAATTAATTAGTGAAATGAGTGTTTGGCCTCTACACCAGGAAGTTTAGAAGTTCTCTAAATATATGCTATGAAGCAGTTAGAGATATTAATTAGTGTTATGTAGGTGTTCTTTCAACCAAGTGACTGCCTCTGAAATACCAGATTTTTGTGATATCCCTATGAAATGGTCAAATAGAGCATCCTTATTTATCATACTGACCTCTAACCCTTAATGTTGACAATCTGGCAGTGTTATTACTAGCCACAAACTTCTAAACTTTTTGATCTATTACTGCTTCCAGTTTTATTACGTGTTTTAACATTGGTAAAGACCTTTCCATTCCCTCCTACACAGTTCATAACATTTTTGCCTTCCTGTGCAGTACTGTCCTGACAACTAGTGAAACATGTTTGCTTCTGCTTGTCAAACAGTTCTCACGTAGCTATTTATTTCAGAAGTACATAAACGTTTGTGATGATGTGGATGGTATGTCTAACTTTACAAACATTTTTCTCGTCTGAACATTTATGGGATTTGTTAGTCACACTGTAATCAGAAACTGCTGTGATTTCTTCTTTACGAAGACTGATGCCCGGTACTGAGGACCACATGTTAGATGTCTAACCCACCCATGTGTTTTATCTTTAAAACTTTTAAAATGTTAAATATTAGTCAAACAAAGTTCTTTACTTGATATGACAGTTGATGTTTCCATGCTACTCATATATACTTGCACGTAACTAGTGTCCGTTCCTTAAGCTGCATAATTAATTTTAAGTTAAAAGTTGACTTAGACTCTGGAAGCATATAGTGTACTTGATTGGGTATCTATTCTTGTGAACTGGCTGCTAAATTTTATTTCAAATAAACACATTTTCCAGTGAATCTAAATAATTTACTTTGCCAGTTGAGTGAAAGATAAATCCAGCAATCTGTTTATATGTTTGGTTCAGTGGCTAGTCGTGTGTGTTGATACTGAATCAGTGGTGTTGTGGTCCTTTAGTTGTGTGTTGTCTCTTAAGATTGTAGTACGTAGTGTTTATATTGTATGTTGTCTCTTGAGATTGTAGTAGGTAGTGTTTATATTGTGTGTTGTCTCTAGAGATTGTAGTAGGTAGTGTTTATATTGTGTGTTGTCTCTAGAGATTTTAGTAGGTAGTGTTTATATTGTGTGTTGTCTCTTGAGATTGTAGTACGTAGTATTTAAATTGTGTGTTGTCTCTTGAGATTGTAGTAGGTAGTGTTTATATTTGTGTGTTGTCTCTAGAGATTATAGCAGAGAGGGTTTATATTTGTGTGTTGTCTCCAGAGATTGTAGCAGAGTGTTTATATTGTGTGTTGTCTCTAGAGATTGTAGCAGAGTGTTTATATTATGTGTGTTGTCTCTAGAGATTGTAGCAGAGTGTTTACGTTAAGTGTTAGCCTAATATTTAAGGTTATGTTACAGGACATAAGGTTATGTTACAGGATTATTAACTAACGGCTCTCAGTTTGGTTAAGAAATCATTTTCTCTCTTTTGAACATAAATTGAATATTCTTAAAACTTTGACACGAATGTAATAAGATTTATTTGTTGTGCTGTGGTTAGTGCTCGTTGTTTAAGTTGTATAATATACTTAATGGTTAACTTAATATCCTAGGTGACATCATAAATTTTGGGCTTCCCTGTGTTTAACTTGTAGAATTGTTAACTGCAGGCCAGCAATTTTTTTTTTAGGTGGTGGAAGTATTCCCCATGAATCATTAAAAACTTTCAGATTCTACCCTTCTTGTTTCCCAATCATTGTTTACTGTATGTCACTTCTGCTATATTTTCACAGTTTTCAAATTGCTAGTTAGCTCATTAAATTATACTTGTGATAAAGCTGTAAAAATGTATTTCTTGAGTTCCTCTTGACTAAGTTATATGAATACCTTTTCATATTCCCATCATGAATTACCAGTAAAAGATTGGGAGTAACTTCTTGTTAACTTTAATTTATCAGAATAGGATTCCATGGGTGCCATTTTCTGTATTAAGTTGTCTAGGCTACCAGTGTTTTTTTTTATTCCTGTTTTATTTCAGATTTAAATGATAAACGAGGATTCCATGGGTGCCATTTTCTGTATTAAGTTGTCTAGGCTACCAGTGTTTTTTTTTATTCCTGTTTTATTTCAGATTTAAATGATAAACGAGGATTCCATGGGTGCCATTTTCTGTATTAAGTTGTCTAGGCTACCAGTGTTTTTTTATTTCTGTTTATTTCAGATTTAAATGATAAATGATTAAAAATACTTCAAATGTTTGAGTATCTAAAGGATTACGCTGTCTTAGTGAGCCAGATGGTGTGTTGCTTATGGTAGTTTGAATTCTTAGTTTTGTTATTGAATGAGTTCATATGAAGGGTTATTGGTAAGGTTGTGATGGTTTCTTTATTTGGGTAACTTTGATGTGATAAATGGCCTTCTTTAACCTAGTTTTATTTCTGTGTGGTAAGTACTGGTGATTAAAATTTCCACAAATTGTTTGATTAATCTTGATTCAATAAAGGTCTCAGTTTTATCAGATTATTTTAACATTGTTCATGAATATTTAAAGATTTCTTACTTTTTATGAATTTGTCCCCATTAGGTATGCAGGCTGATGGTAGTAAAAATTGGGTTTTGATACCTGTGGTGGATAGATCACAGCTAGCTCATCGTGTAACTTTGTGCTTATCAACAACCAAATTAAATAGTATGAATTTTATGCCTAACTATTTATGGCATATTTGTTACGTTTATTATGCAACATTCTTTAAACTGAACACCAGGTGATGCTGTCAAACAATTATTGGTAGCTGTTCTGGTATTTCTATAAGTGGCTCAGTGGTAAGTCAGCAAACGTACAATGCTAAGGATTAGTTTTGGTACCAAAATTTCCATAAACCACAGGAGTCATTTGAGAAAGAGTTACGTTCAAACTAAGACACTTTAATTTGGTTAATTTTAGCTTGACAAGTTGCTTAAAATCTTAAATACCATCTAAAATTATTTGAATATTACCAGTTACATCACATTGTAGAAATATCTGGTAGGGAAAATATATATATGTATTAATTATAAGACCAAGATCCCACTCTTATTTATGAACAAATAACCAAGCTATTAGATTCTATTTTTAAAATCTGTACATTTTTTGTATAATAAAGTTAATTCCATGCTGGAATTAGAGTTATTTAGTACGTTTATTTTCTCATAGGATCAGCTGCTGTGATGTTTTTGTCTTTCCGTAGCCTAACATGAGCCTTGTGTCTAATGTAACCAATGAAAACAGGAGTGCTACCACTGAAAATTTACCAGAGTTGTATCTGTAAGTAATCTCCATTTTTATTTTCAATTCATTTTAGCAATTCTTCATTATAAATTTATATACATATTTGTGTACATAAATTTTTTTTACAGTTTGTAATAATTATATATACAGTATTATTATTATTATAAAATTAAAAGTACATTTTTTTGCAAGTATTTCTGCACTTGATACGACTTTTCAGATATAACAGGATGACAATTATTATCGTTCATATGTGACTAGGGGATTTATCCTGTGTATTAATAGTAGCTGTGGGATATTGTGTTATTGGATATACACTAAATAAAGAATAGGAGTAACAGAGACATGTAAAGAAAACACAACGTTTAAAGATACACAGTAAATACTTTATACACTCATCATGTTTCGATGTCTTACTGCATCGTCATCATCGGGAGTTTAAGTTGTAGAAACATGTTGAGTGTATGAAACTTTCCAATCTCGTGGTATTTTGTCTTTATTAAGTTAAATTTTTTTATTGTATTTTGAGACTGGGACAGTCTCATTTCTAGATATTCATTGTGTATCATTAAATGTTGTTGTTTTTTATTTAAACTTCTGTTATTTAAAATTTACAAAAGTGTAATCTTAACCTTAAGAAACAAGAGTAATTGAATGTCTGTGAAGAATAATTTAAATTAAACAACTTTTATTTCTGGAAAAACCTACTAGGAAATTTACATAGATTGACAAAAACAGCTGTAGAGAAGCACCTGGTTAGGTTAACACAGATACAACTTGAATTACTATTCAACATAGTTGAGTATAGATTTGTGTGTGTGAAACTATAATATTTGTTTTTAAACTATAATTTGATGTGTTTCAAAGAGATAATGTGCATACTAACTCATCCTTAATATATGTATTTCATGAAATTCTACTCATTGTAGTTATAAATTCAGAAGTCAGTCTAGATTTAGCAACCTGTTAATTATTTTATTATATTCATAAGCTTGGTTTTCTTTAAGTTGAGTTTTTTGTATGAATTTGTTAAAATGACAAAAGTAAAAGGTTTTATTTTCTGTTCGAAGTTCCCTGTCTTTTTGTTCCATTCATATATATCTTCCTTCTTGTAGTCCTTCTCTTCCATTTGAAATGTGTTTCTTGCAGTCCTTCTCTTCCATTTGAAATGTGTTTCTTGCAGTCCTTCTCTTCCATTTGAAATGTGTTTCTTGCAGTCCTTCTCTTCCATTTGAAATGTGTTTCTTGCAGTCCTTCTCTTACAATTGAAATGTGTTTCTTGCAGTCCTTCTCTTCCATTTCAAATGTGTTTCTTGTAGTCCTTCTCTTCCATTTGAAATGTGTTTATTGCAGTCCTTCTCTTACAATTGAAATGTGTCTCTTGCAGTCCTTCTCTTACATTTGAAATGTGTCTCTTGCAGTTCTTCTCTTCCATTTCAAATGTGTTTCTTGCCGTTCTTATCTTCCATTTCAAATGTGTTTCTTGCAGTCCTTCTCTTCCATTTCAAATGTGTTTCTTGCAGTCCTTCTCTTCCATTTGAAATGTGTCTCTTGCAGTCCTTCTCTTACAATTGAAATGTCTCTTGCAGTCCTTCTCTTCCATTTGAAATGTGTTTCTTGTAGTCCTTCTCTTCCATTTGAAATGTGTCTCTTGCAGTCCTTCTCCTACATTTGAAATGTGTTTCTTGCAGTCCTTATCTTCCATTTCAAATGTTTCTTGCAGTCCTTCTCTTACAATTGAAATGTGTTTCTTGCAGTCCTTCTCTTACAATTGAATGCAGTCCTTCTCTTACACTTGAAATGTTTCTTGCAGTCCTTCTCTTCCATTTGAAATGTGTTTCTTGCAGTCCTTCTCTTACACTTGAAATGTGTCTCTTGCAGTCCTTCTCTTCCATTTGAAATGTGTTTCTTGCAGTCCTTCTCTTACATTTGAAATGTGTTTCTTGCAGCCCTTCTCTTACAATTGAAATGTGTTTCTTGCAGCCCTTCTCTTACAATTGAAATGTGTTTCTTGTAGTCCTTCTCTTTCATTTGAAATGTGTTTCTTGCAGTCCTTCTCTTACATTTGAAATGTGTCTCTTGTAGTCCTTCTCTTCCATTTGAAGTCCTAGCATTACTGTTTTGAGAAATTTAAAACTTGCTTGATTTTTAACCAAATTTTACACACTTATTTTATCATGTTCTTGTTACTGTCAACAAGTGTTTTGAATAATAGATGATTCATTAAAAAGTATTGAATTGTTAACCACATTTTAATATTTTATGCAATAAGAAACACATGTACCTACATCTTGTGTGACATTTGTTTCATTGGCTTAACCCTGATGGTCTGTGTGGCATCACTCACCTCGCAGGTCTACTGAATATGGATGATTGGCAAAGATATAAGTGCTGTGCATGTCATTAAATGTTGCTTTTGTGTGGTACTAAAGAAAACAAACAAATGCAACAAATCTAGAGTTGTCTGGTGTTTTCATGTCACAAGTTATGAGGAACGAACTTGATGATGATTGAGGCTGGAGTTTAAATGGACCAATTGGATGAGAAGTTCAAGGCCTTGGCAGCCATTTCAATTTTTACTACATTAAGACGATTAGAAACACTATATTGGAAGGTACGAAGCTAAAATAAATAATCAGTTCACACAAATTCAGAAATATGTAAGTAATTGTCAGTTTTCATATGAATATTTTATAGTGTACATAAGGTTGTGAAATGTAACTGTTTTTTTTTTATGGGTCAGGTACATGTAGGTGTAGTATCTTTAACATAGTTTAATAATAAGTTTTATTTGTTTGTTAGTACAAAACACTTTTATAGAAGGTCGTGGAATGATAAGCAAATTGAGTTTCCTTTTAAATGTACAGGAACAAGTGCCTTAATGACAGAAATTGCCAACCTCGAGAGAGCGTATGTTTTGAAGAGTTAGCAGAACTCATCTCCGCTAGTTTAGCTGACATGAGTTCCTTGTCTGTGAAGCCAGAAAAGTGTGCCATAATCCAGGAAACTGTCAGCCAGATCCACAGAATCCAACAACAACAAGGTAAGGGAGACCTTAAGTGCAGAAAAGCTGGCTAATTCATGATATTTTCAATACATTCTACAGTTATCTGATCACAGAGTAACGCCGTTTGTGTACCGACACTCGAAATCGAGATTTTGCTAGTCATCTTAGTAAGGAATAGAATAATACAAACAATGAATAGTTCAATTTTAAAAAGTTATTGTACCTGTAGTATTTTATGGACAGTTTACCTGAACTTTTTATTGAGGAATCTGATAAAATGTTTTTAGAAAAATCAGTAGGGAAGAGCAGAGATCTTCCTGATTTGTGAAAGAACATGACATTATGTGCCTTTTTGTTTTTAGCAAGTGTCATCTGCTGCCATCTATTGGCTATATACCAAAGGAAAATATGTTTGGATAGGTTTGTAATCTGGACAGATAAAAAATAATGTCGTACTTAATATTTTTGACAGTGCATAGGATTTTTAAGGATATTACAAAAATTATATAATGGCCGATAGCTAGTTTGAAAACTGCTGATATCAAATAAAAATAGGAAATCACGGCTGATTCTTAGAACACAGTGTGTGTGTGTTCAGTGGATGACTGAAAGTGTGTAATGTCGTTTAATGAGCCACATTTTACCATTTTCTCTATCAGAGTTGGAAGTAAAAATATTGTATGGAGCACTTGAACCTTCTTGTATTCCAACAGTACAAAGTTTGGGAGGTGGTGTAAAGGTGTGGGGAATATTTTATCCACAGGATGGGTCTTTAAATTCCTTTATGGCAATAAATAACATCCAGATTGTAGGCCTAAACTGATCATGTTGACTCCATCCTTCTGCATTTCCACCCTGATGTACTTGGACTCCTCACCTTTCAAAGGCAACAATACAACAATCCATTGTCTTGGTACTCTTTGAAATGAGTGAAGTTGAAGATAACATTTGCAGAAATTGTTACCGTAATTGTCTGCCAACATCTCTGAACCAACTACAGACATCGTGTTCATAATGAATATGCTTCAATCCAGCAAACCACTCTCCTGTATCTTTTGAAGTTTTTTCCAAAGTGAGTCCCGATTATAAATGTAAAGGAAATTGGTGTTAATGGAGTTGCCAGTCAGCATATGGATAATTTGTAATGATTTCCTTGTTTTACAGCTGCTGGTGAAAGAGATGAACTTCAAGAAAGCGAGGTGTCATCAAGTAATTCTAGCATACTGAATAGTGAAGTCCTAGGTCCTCTCTTACTGGAGGTGAGTTTATGATGTCTTGTTTAGGAA